TTTGAGTTTTGACTTGGTACAGTTTTCATGGCATAATGTTCTCATATAATTCCCAAGATTTTGGAATGTACTGTGATCACACAGCACATACCACACAGTAAATATATTTATGTCTTTGTATATAGATAGGTTATAGAACAGCTTCAACGGGTTACAAGGCCATAGTAGAGTTCAAAAAGTTTCATAAGTAGGCAGATAGAAATGTAAGTAGAGCCTGTGCTGATAAGATAAAGACTAAAACAGCTGCAGATAAGAACTTGAGAAAGAAGCAGAGGTCATGAGTATCACAGGTTTAGCACAGGACTTAGGGAGTTGAGTTCAGCTACAGTGGGTGAAGGGGAAGAGAGGGATCAGAAGAAGAATGGGTAGGCGGGTGGATGGTGGGTCCACAGAAGTAAACAGGATGACTAGCATATAGCAGTTGAATAGATTCCTGCCACAGCACAAGCTGAGCTGAACAGCCCCCTGGGAAAGTTGTGAGTTCTCTACCAGTGGGTTCTGTCAGATGAACACCTCCACTGCAGTTTTAATTGCTCATATCATTGTGGGGTCCAGGTGAGGAAATTATTTCTTGGTCTTATATCTCTGATATCTATTGGGACTAATTTCCTTATATGATCTTAATACATTCACATAGTTCTACAATAGCAATTCCCCTAGATAAATTTATAGATTGGCATCTTTTCTACTCCTAGGAATGTCATTTATCAGTCTGTGCTGTGTGGCTGGTACTGGACAGATGGTGCCATTTGCATATGAACTCAGGTGAATAGTCATGCCCCATCCTCAAAATGGAATCAAATGCTGCTTGTAAAATGGAATCTTGGCCAGAACTCATTGGGATAAAAGTCTCTAAAGGCAAGGCACAGTCTGAGAATCTATTGCTTTGTACAATATGGAGCAACTTAGAGCAGATTAGCTTGATTTCAACAGATATTCTGTGGTAGAAATAATGGAAGTCTATGTTTGGCTACTTCCTGTTCCTGAGGCATGTAACTGATGTATGCTTAGACATGTCATCCCACTACAGAGATTGACTTAGGAGTGTGTGTGTGTGTGTGTGTGTGTGTGTGTCCTCGTCCATCCTTGGAGTGGATTCTGAGGATGAAAACATCATCCTGCAAGTGGTCCATTTCACATGACACACATCAGAAAGAACTCATCTCTGAGTTTTATCCAGAGTTTCACTGATGCAGGAAGGGAAGGCTTTCTTGGAAAGAAAATTCCTCCCCCAAATCAGAGGTTTAAATAGAAAAAGAGAACCTTGGTGTACATCCCTTGAATTCCGGCAAGGACCCACTTGCAGGCCTATGCAACTAATTCTGTGCTCTCCTGGGGAGGAGTGAATGGTCTTCCACTCCTCTAGCCAGCATGGACTGAATCCTGAGTTCCTGGTTTATACATGCCCTATGAGATTAATAACAGTATTTTTCTTTTACAGAGAAAGTGACAGAACAAGAGAAGTTCAGCTCAAAGCCAGCCAAGTCAGTTAAGAGTTTGTCTGAGGTCAATTGTAATGATTTTTTTCCCCTAAAGCATTTCAGTGATTCCATTATCTTCTAGACCGGGTGAAAGTTCTGGTTGTGGGGACATGCAGTCTTCCTACCAAGAGTCTTCCATCCATCTGCCTTGCTTCCCACCATTGTATAGACTGTGCATTCTGTCTAACCAAATCCTCTCTCTCTAGGCCACACTTTAACCCCCCTCCCTTCTTCCATGTTATGCAGTATTCATTTAGGCTTTGATTATCAAATCCTATTGGGAGATGTGATGATGAAGTCAAGTCTCCTGCATAAGAGTTATTTATTCCCCATGGACATTTCAAGAGTAAGTACTAAGCTTGTTCTCTTGAGCTTTCTCACCTGAGAGGCCAAGTTATAGTCTCTTGAGTCACAATATCAAATATGAGAAGATCTATGCACAGTGATTCCAAGTTCAAGAAGAGATTCACCAAAGCACATGACTCCACGTTACATAATGTTATAAAATAGCCCACTAAATCATATGCGTAAGTGATTTTTGATCAGTGTTAAAACTACTGATTATGTAGTATGAAAATCTTAGAGACAGTTATGAAATAAGAGACCACAGCCTCTACTTGCCTTGCTGTACCTATTAAAGGATTTCCTTCACAATTCTTCACTGGAGATGCTGTGGAAGAGAGATACCTCAGTGCTCAGGGGTCACTAGGTGTGGCCGAGGAATCTGGATCAAGAGACATTTTGGTTTGATGCCTGCTAATTTTTTCTTGTTTCTTTTTTGAGAGGAGAGCAGACAATGATTTCAGGAATAAGTGCTTTGTATGTATTAACCATCAAATCCTAGAAGGTTCTGACTAGTGTATTAGGTCAGTGAGTCCAACTCTTACCTTTCTTCATGTACAAGGTAAAGCTTAAAGAAAAGAAAGCATGCCTAATACTACCTATTAGAGTTATTTAGAAAAATGTAAGAGTGTTTTAATAATTGAGAAAGCATTTATGATCAGTTCATCTTAACTCTCATGATAGTTCTTTTGCTTGTGGCTTTTAAATACGTTTGTTTTTCATTTTCTCATAGTCATTTCACACACTTATGAAGAACAGAGTCACATGTCAGTACTTGTGTACAATGTACAATGATCACATCAGGACAGTTGGTGTTTATGTCATCTTAGACATTTATCTTTCCTTTTTGCTGGGGACATTCAAATCTTTACTAGCTGTATGGGAACACACAATGAATTGTCTGCTGTAGCCATTCTACCGTGCTGCTAAAGATAGTTTTATTCTATTGTACATTGTTAGTTGGTCCAATGAAGGTTTTAAAAATAAAATATTTAAAAAACTCATAACCAATCACTTTTATACATTTAGAATTTAGTACACATGAATTTTGGATTTTCCCAGAAACTATACTACCTGTTGTATGAGGTGGTGTGTGTGTGTGTGTGTGTGTGTGTGTGTGTGTGTGTGTGTTGTATGAGGTGTATGAGGTGGTGTGGTGTGTGTGTGTGCCAGTGTGCTTGCATGCATGTGGAGGCCAGAGTTCAACGTTATATGTTCCCCAGGAGCTTGTTTTTTGATACAGGGCCTCCCACTGAGTCTTGGGGCTTGCAGATTAGAATCCTCTGATTAGCCAGTCAGTCCCAGGGAACTTCCTGTTTCTATTTGCTCAGAATTGGGATTAGAAGCATACACCACAATGCCAGGCTTTTTGTGTGGATTCTAGTGAGTGAATCTCAGGTCCGCATGCTTTCAGAGCAAGCACATTACCAACGGAGCTATCACCCCAGCTCCAATTTTAAGAGTTTTTTTCTGACAGTCAAAAATGCATAAATATTGATTTTGATACAGGCAATTGGTTTGAATCTATGACCACAGGTCAACTCAAGAATAAACGAACTTATCTTCTACTCTACTAATGTCCTAAAGACCTGCACTGAAGGTCATGTTATATATCTTCAAATGGCTGTGTCTCTTTGTGACCCTGGCTTCCTCATCTCCCTTGGTTAAGTTCCTATGTGTTTCAGAACATCACACAGAGGCCAGAAGGCTCCATTCTAACCCTGTGGCACCACCCCAGGACCTTCTGAGTTGAGTACATCAGTCTTCATCCTTCTGTCTTTCTTCTCTCATCCTTCTACCATGACAACCTGTAGTTACTATTGTTATCTCTTCTTGCCATCTATACACAAAGGTTCCCTCATTCAATTTCCCAAGCCACATCTTATTACTTCTCAATTCTTCCCCAGTCTGTTTTTTTTCTTTCTTTTAGATACCCTTTTCATTAAAGATAGAGCCTAGATTTTTCCCCATTTCTTTTATTCTAGAAATATTGTCTTAATGTTCCTTATGATCCTGGGACTGTTGCAGGCATTGTGTATATATACAAAAAGCCAACAAAAACTTTGTTCTTCATAGTTGTGCTCTTGCATGGGGTAGGATTTCTATATATGAAAATACTATGTCAGTTGGCAATAAGAGGAAAGGTAGAGGTAGAGATAAGAGATAGAGACCTGAGGTGTGTCAGAGACACATGCCATGCGTCTAGAAACTCATGCCTGTTTTATGCAGTGCCCTTAAATCTTACTGAATTTTAGAAGCTAACAGAACAGATGTGACTGTACTGTGCCTGGAAAATGGTAGCTTCTTGATCAGGACTTGCTGAGTAAGTCCTTAATGATTTCATGAACTTTCTGATGTAGAGGAAGTTGGGAGAGGGACAAGAGTAGTAGAGTGAAAACTTTTAGATGAAAGTTTTGTAATGACCCCTAGATGGACATTTCCTCTTGTTATTATGGTCACAAGGAGGGACCCTAGCATTTGGTCCTAAACACACACACACAAACACACACACACACACACACACACACACACACACACACACACACTTAGGTAAACTCCAAGAGAATTGACTACATCCATTCTAGGCTAAAACTACTAAGATTGAAACTTATTCAAACATGTTGGTGTCACCTAATATAGATAAATTTAGTATACAATGCTTCAATGAGTTGCTATGGAATGTTGACCACAATCTGTCAAAAATGCCCTAATTTTAAATGTAGTGAATATCTCAAATAGATGTGCATAACACTGTTATAACTAAATGATTAACATATCTTTTCTACATGTTGTCCTCCATGTTTTAAAATTTTATATTTAATATAGTTAAGTAAAAGATATATCTTTAATAACAGTATGAGGCCAGAAATAGAATTATAAATTATTTGTGTTTACTTTTGGGGTATGATTTAATACAAAGTATATAGTGTACAACTTTCGAAAGAATTTGACATTTTATGATTTTCAGACTAGATTTCTAAGCCAGAATCTTTATTTTCCCTTCTTATGTATAAAAGATCCATTAATCCAAATGTTTAGCCATTCTCTAGAGTTGAAATGGATAATTTTGTGAGGATGGTCTTCTCCTGTAGTGCTAGGACAGAATTCCTCTGGTGAATGGAAGCTGGAGCCAGAACTGTGATTTCATTTTTACACACTATGTTTCTAAAATGACCCAGGACTCCACTACAGCAATGAGGGGGCAGAATGACAGCTTTGCGGCTGAGTTCATCCTTTTGGGATTTTCTAACTATCCTGAACTCCAAGGACAGATGTTTGGGGCTTTCTTGGTTATTTATATGGTGACTTTGATGGGAAATGCCCTCATTATGTCTGTCATCTTCCTGGACCAGAGCTTGCACATCCCCATGTACCTGTTCCTGCAGAACTTGTCCGTAGTGGAAACTGGATTCAGCACAACCATCATGCCTGAAATGCTGGTGGTCCTGACCACCCAGAAAGCCACCATTTCCTTTGGGGGCTGTTTTGCACAGATGTATTTCATTCTTCTCTTTGGTGGGACTGAGTGTTTTCTCCTGGGGGCGATGGCTTATGACCGATTTGCTGCAATCTGCCATCCTCTGTCCTACCCGGTGATTATGAACAAGAGGGTCTTCGTGAAACTGGTGATGTGCTCCTGGGTCTTGGGTACCATGATGACTACTCTGCAGACCACATGGGTGTTTAGTTTCCCCTACTGTGGTCCTAATGAAATCAATCACATCTCCTGTGAAACCCCAGCAGTGCTGGAGCTTGCATGTGCTGACATTTTTTTCTTTGAAATCTATGCCTTCACAGGTACTATTCTGATCATTTTGACTCCCTTCCTGTTGATTCTTTTGTCTTACATCCGAATTCTCTTCACCATCCTGAGGATGCCAGCCTCTACAGGGAGGCAGAAGGCCTTTTCTACGTGTGCCTCTCATCTCACATCTGTCACCCTTTTCTATGGCACAGCTAGTATGACCTATTTACAGCCTAAATCCAGGTACTCACCAGACACCAAGAAACTGATGTCATTGGCTTACTCTCTGCTTACCCCTCTGCTGAATCCACTTATCTACAGTCTGAGAAACAAGGAGATGAAAAGGGCTGTGGTGAAATTATGGGAAAGAAAAGTGGTTTTCAACACAACCTGACTTGTTGGGAAGTCATGTGATATTCAGATAGATCACAATTGAGCTGAGTATGGATTAAGAAGATGAAAACACTAAATTCCTTGATGAGAATATGTTTAATTTTTTCTTTCTAAAACAACTCTTTATTTTTTAATTTTTAAACATCTATTTCATTTTTAATATAGCATTTTTATAATTTAGTCTGAAAATTTTATACAAAAATTTAATTCTTTATAAAATAATTATTTTTAAAAATTAAAAATTCTTTAAATATATTTTAAAATTCTTTATAACATATTTTAATACATATCAGGTTATCCCTCTCTTTTAACTCTGTAGTCTATTGCTTTAAAGATATACATGTTTTCATAACACATGATATAGCAACAGTTTATTGATTTATTTCTGTACTGTTAATATAGACAGGTCATTGTAGAGTGTTGCCATTAATAATACATCAATAAACATGTAGTTCCAAATGTTCATATGTTTGGTGATCTTACTATTTATTCTATGGCAGATTCCTGAAATGACAACTGATAGAATGAGGCCTGCTATGGTTATATATTTTAACCATCATTGTGAGATATATACTTGTAATCCCAGTACATGGAAATTTATGGCAGGAAGCTATGGAGTTCAAGGCCAGCTTACTTTCATAATTTCAAGGGCACCTTGAATTTTAGAGTGAAACTCTGCCTCAATAAAACAAGAGCATTCTCTGCTTTGTGCATGTGGTTGAGGATGTGAGTTCTCAACTTCCTGTTGTCCTGACATGTGTACCACCATGCTTACTTGCCATGATGGACTGTTATCCCTCTGGATCCATAAGCCCAAATAAACTCTTCTGTAAGTTGCCTTGGCATTGTGTTTTGTCATAGCCACAGAAAAGTAACTAATATAGAAGTTGGTGCCAGAGAGTGGGGTGTTGCTATGAAGAACCTGACCATATTGCTTTTTGATGGAGAATGTAGAAGACTTTGGAACTTTGGGCTAGAAAAGTGGTTGAATTCTGCTGTCAGCAGAGCTTAAGGGGCCATCTTCTGGAGACAATGGTTTATGACTGATATGCTGTAATTTGTCATTCTCTGTCCTACCTGGTGATCAGAAACAAAAGGGTCTTCGTGAAACTAGTGACGTTCTCATGGATATTGGGGATCATGGTGGCTACTGTGCACACCACGTGGGTGTTTATTTTCTCCTACTGTGGCCACAGGGAAATTAACCATCTCTTCTGTGAGACCCTCCAGTGCTGGAGCTTGCATGTGCAGACACGTTCCTGTTTGAAGTCTATGCCTTCACAGGCACCATTTTGATTGTCATGGTCCCCTTCTTGTTGTGTGATATTTTGATTACATTCTGACAATAAAGTTTGCTTTGAGACCAAAATTAATTATAGAGGTTTTGGAGGACTGAGGACAGATAGAGAGACAGGAAGTAGTAGAGCAGGGCTCAGGGCCTCACCCCTTTTGGGTGGAGGAACAACAGAGATAGGAGTTCACTGATCACTTCTCTGCCACTTCTCTGATCATTCGAGTTCTTACCCCAATATCTGACTCCTGAGTTTTTACTGATAAAAAATGAATAGATAAATGCAACACCTTCTTATTGATTCTCTTGTCTTACATCCGAATTCTCTTTGCCATCCTGAGGATGCCATCCTCTACAGGGAGGCAGAAGGCCTTTTCCACATGTGCCTCTCATCTCACATCTGTCACCTTCTTCTATGGCACGGCCGGTATAACTTATCTATAGCCCAAATCCGGGTATTCACCAGACACCAAGAAACTGATGTCATTGGCATACACACTGCTTACCCCTCTGCTGAATCCACTTATCTACAGCTTGAGAAACAAGGAGATGAAAAGGGCTGTGGTGAAATTATGGGAAAGAAAAGTGGTTTTACATACCATCTGAGTTGCTGAGAAGCCATGTGGTATTTGGAAATCACCCAAAGAAACTCTACCTTAGATTAGTAAATCATGGAAAAGGCATGCCTCTCTTAATACTTTAGTCATTTGTTTTCAAGAAATATCTACATTTTTTTTTTGGCTCAGTAGATTTCAAAGGGAAGCAAATAATGTAATAGCAACTGCTATGGGAAGCCATTCTTGTGATATTTTGGCAAAGAATCTGGCCACCTTCTTAAGAACCTGCCAAACGGTAAATTAATAAGTAATAGATTACTTTGGCAGAGGAACTATCAAGACAGTATAACACTGAGTCTCTAGTATGATTGTTATTGATAATGATAATTTAGGTCCATGATGATAAAGGACAAGGGGGGGCAGAAGGAAATACAAAATGTACAGCTTGGAAAGAAAAAAAAGGACACTAGGAAGCTTAATGTTACAGTCAAGGCATGTGTTGGAAGAGAGGTTGTAATGGTTAAGATTAGTTCCATTAACATGAGACCTCTGTGAACTGAAATAAAAGGGAGGGTGCTGTGGGATGGTCTTTTTGTATGCTGTGAATATGTGTTGCTACCATTGGTTAATAACGAAGCTGCTCTGGCCTATGGCAAGACAGGTTATAGCCAGGTAGGAAATCCAAGCAAAGATACAGGGAGAAGAAGGTGGAGTTAGGGGAGCCGCTGGGAGCTGCTGGAGGAGCAAGATGTAATACATCGCAGGTAAAGCCATGAGACACGTGGTGATACATAAGTTAATAGAAATGGGTTAATTTAAGATGTAAGAACTAGCTACTAATAAGCCTGAGCCATAGGCCAAATGGTTTGTAATTAATATTAAGCCTCTGAGTGATTATTTTATAAGTTGCTGCGGGACCAGATGGGATAGAGAAAAGGCTCTGGCTACAGGAGGATGCCCTCTGGGCAAGGCCCCATCCAACTAAGCTTCTAACTTGTGAAAGAAAGTCCAAGGGTTTTCTGCTCCAAGGAAGCAAAAACAAAAGCTGCTGCTAATGTGGTTCAAGGACTGGGGTCCATCTGAGCTCACAGAGGAACTTGATAGTGTTATCCATGTGGTGCTGGCTTTAGAGGTATGAAGGACTAGAGTTCATCTAAGCTCATAGAGGAACTTGATAGTTTTATCCACGTGATGGTGGCTTTATAGGCATGAAGGATTCAGGGGGTGAAGCAGTTGTGAATTATCCTTCCATAGTTTCCAAGAGCTACTGAGGCCAGGCAGCATGTGTCAGGGGAGTCCCTACATGAAAGCCCGGAGAAGCCATTGTGTGAAGCTCTGAAAGTGAAACCTGAGCTGCAGTGGGGACTTCAAGATGTCAGAGATGCTATAGCCAGAATAAAGAGAATGGTACCAGCTCAAGAGAGAGATGTATGCCTCAGGCAGCAAAGCTGGAGTGGGCGAGCCATCTAAGCCCCTTGACATTGGACATGGAGCTATAGGAGTTGCTGTTTTCCCTGCTGGGTTCCGTTCTTGCTTTAGTTATGTATTTCTTACTATGACTCATTATTCCATTTTGGAATGGAAATGTATATTCTGTGTCATTGTATGTTGGAAGTATGTGACATGCTTTTTGATTTTGGTTACCTTAGAAGAGACTTTGGACTTTTAAACAATGCTGAGGCTGTGAAAGACTACAGAGACTTATGAATTTGGACTAAATTCATTTTGCATTATGATATAGACTTAAGGCCTATGGGTCCCAGGGAGCAGAGTGTGGTGGTTTAAATGAGAATTACTGCCCATCGTTCCCCCTATTTGAATACTTTCCCCAGTTGGTGACACTGTTTTGGGGGAAGTTCAGGAGATGCAGAATTGCTGAGGAGGTGTGTTCCTGGGAGCAGGCTTTGAGAGTACGAAACCCCTGTCCATCACATTCAGTTCACCAGCTTGGCTTTGTGCTTGCAGTTGAGGATGTGAGTGCTCAGCTTCCTGTGCCTGCCAGTATGCCAGCAGCTTGCTGCCATGCTTCCCCACCATGACAGACTTATCCCTCTGCAACTGTTAGCTCAAACAAGATTTCCCCAAAACAAAACAAAACAAAAACACAAGGCAGAGCATGGTGCTTAAATATGGAGAACTCGTTGGCATGCTCAAAGTCCTGGGTTTAATATCCAGCATCACAAAGCGCTCAAACAACAAATAAAACTATTTCAGAATAGCTGTTGCTCTGTGCAGGTTACTATAGTGTCCTAGAGCCTTGATAAGCCATATGCCTGGATAGAGTTTCAGGACACCAAATGTGCCTGAGTCACAAGACTCCCCAGCAAGCCCACCACAGAGCTGATATCTGATACAAAACACACAGGGGTTTATTAATTACAAACAAGCCCGGGCTTGGTCTGTGTCCAACACTTTGACACAGTGGCTGGAGGAGGATGGCCCTGAGCTGTCAGAATGAGGGGTTTTAAAAGGGAAAAACCACAAGCAGGGTGGTAAAACCTTTGCGTCATATGATTGTGTGAGGGTGTGTAACCTTTGATTTCACTGTTTGGGGTCCAGAGGAATTTTTGGGCAGGCCTGAACAAGTCCCAGGCTCTGTCCTTGAGCCGCCATGGAGGCTGCTGCATGGCCTAGCAGGTACTGACTGAGGGGGCTGACTCAGTGGCCCAGGCTCTGTCCCTGACTCATGCACATAGCTCTAAGTTGATGAGGGGTCCCAGAGAGCAAACAATTGGCTGAACCTTGAGTGGTCAGAGTACATGCAGAAAGGAAGCTACTGCAAGGACTATGTCTTTTGTTCCTGGCCCTCCCAGAAACTGCTTGTTCAAGTCTCAGGAAACTGAAATTGAGGCCTGATCTCTGAGAGAAGACTGAGCAGCCTGTTATGGCATCTGCTTGGTCCTTTTACAACAGAGTGATTTTTATTTCTAGAGACATGATTTGTTTAGTTGAAAGATTTAAAAAAAATAAGCATTTTTTTTTCTGGAGCAAAGTAGTGTTTCCTCATAGACAGACACAAATAATTTTCCTCAGTGGAACACAATTCAAAATTACCTAATGTGAGAAATCCATGGAGTCTGCTAAAAGGGCAAAGGGATTTATTAAGAAAGGAAAACTCACAAGACAGAACAGAGGAATTGTTGCAGGGTCTTGGAAAAGGTGAGGCATGGTCCCATGCTGTTCTTCTGCATTCAAGACTGTCCCAGCATCCAAGTCCCAGGAGAGAGCAAAGAAG